GTGGCAGTTGTAGGTAGTGTGGCCAGGTGCAGGTAGTGTGGCCGGTTGTAGGTAGTGTGGCCGGTTGTAGGTAGTGTGGCGGTTGTAGGTAGTGTGGCGGTTGTAGGTAGTGTGGCGGTTGTAGGTAGTGTGGCGGTTGTAGGTAGTGTGGCGGTTGTAGGTAGTGTGGCCAGGTGCAGGTAGTGTGGCGGTTGTAGGTAGTGTGGCCGGTTGTAGGTAGTGTGGCCGGTTGTAGGTAGTGTGGCGGTTGTAGGTAGTGTGGCTGGTTGGAGGTAGTGTGGCGGTTGTAGGTAGTGTGGCGGTTGTAGGTAGTGTGGCAGTTGTAGGTAGTGTGGCCAGGTGCAGGTAGTGTGGCGGTTGTAGGTAGTGTGGCGGTTGTAGGTAGTGTGGCCGGGTGCAGGTAGTGTGGCCGGTTGTAGGTAGTGTGGCGGTTGTAGGTAGTGTGGCGGTTGTAGGTAGTGTGGCCAGGTGCAGGTAGTGTGGCGGTTGTAGGTAGTGTGGCTGGTTGTAGGTAGTGTGGCTGGTTGTAGGTAGTGTGGCGGTTGTAGGTAGTGTGGCTGGTTGTAGGTAGTGTGGCGGTTGTAGGTAGTGTGGCGGTTGTAGGTAGTGTGGCCGGGTGCAGGTAGTGTGGCCGGTTGTAGGTAGTGTGGCCAGGTGCAGGTAGTGTGGCGGTTGTAGTGTGGCTGGTTGTAGGTAGTGTGGCGGTTGTAGGTAGTGTGGCGGTTGTAGGTAGTGTGGCGGTTGTAGGTAGTGTGGCCAGGTGCAGGTAGTGTGGCCAGTTGTAGGTAGTGTGGCTGGGTGCAGGTAGTGTGGCGGTTGTAGGTAGTGTGGCCGGTTGTAGGTAGTGTGGCAGTTGTAGGTAGTGTGGCTGGGTGCAGGTAGTGTGGCGGTTGTAGGTAGTGTGGCCGGTTGTAGGTAGTGTGGCCGGTTGTAGGTAGTGTGGCGGTTGTAGGTAGTGTGGCAGTTGTAGGTAGTGTGGCGGTTGTAGGTAGTGTGACCGGTTGTAGGTAGTGTGGCGGTTGTAGGTAGTGTGGCGGGTGCAGGTAGTGTGGTGGTTGTATGTAGTGTGGCAGGTGTAGGTAGTGTGGCGGTTGTAGGTAGTGACCGGTTGTAGGTAGTGTGGCGGTTGTAGGTAGTGTGACCGGTTGTAGGTAGTGTGGCGGTTGTAGGTAGTGTGACCGGTTGTAGGTAGTGTGGCTGGTTGTAGGTAGTGTGGCGGTTGTAGGTAGTGTGGCCAGTTGTAGGTACTGTGACCAGTTGTAGGTAGTGTGGCAGGTGTAGGTAGTGTGGCGGTTGTAGGTAGTGTGGCCAGTTGTAGGTACTGTGACCGGTTGTAGGTAGTGTGGCCGGGTGCAGGTAGTGTGGCCAGTTGTAGGTAGTGTGGCTGGGTGCAGGTAGTGTGGCAGGTGTAGGTAGTGTGGCGGTTGTAGGTAGTGTGGCAGGTGTAGGTAGTGTGGTGGTTGTAGGTAGTGTGGCTGGGTGCAGGTAGTGTGGCGGTTGTAGGTAGTGTGGCTGGGTGCAGGTATTGTGGCGGTTGTAGGTAGTGTGGCCAGTTGTAGGTACTGTGACCAGTTGTAGGTAGTGTGGCAGGTGTAGGTAGTGTGGCGGTTGTAGGTAGTGTGGCAGGTGTAGGTACTGTGACCGGTTGTAGGTAGTGTGGCCGGGTGCAGGTAGTGTGGCCAGTTGTAGGTAGTGTGGCTGGGTACAGGTAGTGTGGCGGTTGTAGGTAGTGTGGCCGGGTGCAGGTAGTGTGGCAGTTGTAGGTAGTGTGGCGGTTGTAGGTAGTGTGACCGGGTGCAGGTAGTGTGGCGGTTGTAGGTACTGTGGCTGGTTGTAGGTAGTATGGCCAGGTGCAGGTAGCGCGGCCATCAGACCGTACCTGGGACAGGCAGCCAGGGAGAGAGGCAGATTCTGGGTGAACAAAGCAGTGGGGTGTGGATCAGGCCAGAAAGGATTGAGAGGCTGAGCAGCTCGGCAGGCCACTGCTGCAGGCTGAGAGGACAGCACATGCTCCTGAACGGCATCCGCAAAGGCCCAGGAGCAGGCTCGGCCCTGCCACCTGTTGGAAGGGACCGTGGGCCTCGGTTCACTGCCCAGCGGGGCTCCCTCAAGTGTCCCTCAGCCCGTGAAGGAGCCCTACCTGTGTCCTCTCCCCGAGAACCCCATCTTACTGAGCCAGGGCTCTCCAGGGGAGGCCGCCTGACCCATTTCCAAACAAGAGCCTCTTCACAGGCGCCAGCCCTCAGGCCTCAGTCTAGTCCCTTACAGGAAATGGAGAACCAGGATCACAGGAAGCAGGGCACAGGGCAAGTGGGTGGTGACAGAGATTGATGTGTCAGGGCTCCCGCAGGCCCAGTGGCTGTCCTCTCCTGCCAGGCTCTGCTGCCAATTTCAGCTCCTTGGGCTACTTTAAGGTCTGAAGGGTGGCTGGGAAGGAGGAGCCCACACATCCATCCCAGGGGACACGCAGAGGCAGCAGGCACAGAAGAACGATTATTATAAGGTTTATTAGAGGAGCCATATTTCCCCAAGAGGGAACACAGGGCCTCCGTCCCCATCCAGGTAGCAGGAGGGTCTGGGGGATAGGAAGTGAGGTAGATGGGAGTCCGGGTGGGTCTGGGCGGAGGGAGGAGCTGGCTGTAGGGAGGTAACTCCAGGAATGGGAGCCCCCCCCATCTGGGTGGAGCCTGAGGACTAAAGGTGAGCATAACACTAACAAGTCTGTTTGTAGGGGAAGCCAAAACCCAGGTGTTTTGGATAGCAGGAAAGCTGACTTTGAGCCTCCACATCAGTCTTGGAAACAAAGGACCAGGCTTCCCCAGGAGGAGGGTGAAGAGGGCATCCTTCTGGACCATGAAGGATCCTGAGGTAGACCAGAGCCCTTTGCTCTCTTCTTAGGAGCACCTCACCTGCTCCAAAAGGCATCCTGACACGGCACTGCCCTCACCCCTAAACCTGCCATGTCCCCAGGCCGGGGCTGCCCACCACAGACAAGACCTCAAAACCAGTCTAGCCTGGAAAGCATGCTGTGCTATGCCAGCGCCTGTGAGCTCAGCGTTGCAAGGCACTGTCTCCAGAGGTCCTGGGGAGGGAGGCGCGGCTCAGCTGGTAGAGCACTGGCCCATGAATGAAAGCACCAGGTACTGACTTCAAGTCTCAGTCTCAGACCAAAAAGGAAAGGAAAAAAGAGGCCCTGCTGCTTCCCAGGCTCAGCCAGCCCGGCTGCCTGGAGCGGTGCCTGGTGAGCAAAGGCAGCAGAGCGGGGTGGCAGGAGATGCAGGGAAGGAGAGCCCGGGGAGAGGCGGCAGAAGTCCTCTCTAGCCTGTCCGTGGGTTTCAGGGCCACAGAGAACAAGGCTTCAGCTGAGACGTGTCCTCCAAATCCTGGCCTCATCGGAAGAAGCTTCGTTTTGTGGGTCAAAACCAAGTGCACGATGATGGCTGGCACTTGCAGTGCTCATCAGACCCTGTTCTCAAAGCCTGGGGAAGGCACTCAACACGCCAGAGCAGGTCTCTGTACAGATCTTCAAGTACACCAAATGTTCTCTGAACAGGTAGCAAATCGTGACATTTTAGACAGCCGCCATGCTTTCTGGAGGGCCAGCTGTGGGGCACCATGGAGTTCTGGGAGTGCAGCCTCTAGCTCAAGTCCCAGCTCTTCCTCTGGTCGTGTCCTGAATGGCCTAAGCTTTTTGGTATCTGTACTGAAGAACAGATGTGCCAATCCTTCAAGCGACTCCTAGGCTCAGCCACGACACCTCAGGTGAAAAATGGTGGACACAAGTCTGGGTCCCGTTGCATCAACAAGCCCAGGGAGCCATCACTATACCCTCCGCTCACCTAGATCTTCCCAGGGGCAGTGGACACACAGGGCAGCCCCTACCGGCTTTAGGGGCACCAGAAAGCACACATGCCTCCTACTCTGACCTGCATGGGCCTTGGGGCTGGTCCCATGCCACCCTCTGAAGTTAGAACTGCAGTCTAGGTCACATCTGACCACAAGACCTCCTTCCTTCCAGTTCTGGGGCTTCTCTTGAGTGCTGGATGTTTGCCTCTGAGCTCCCAGCCTGAGAAGGCAAAAGCAAGGTGGTGACAGGTAGTTAGGTAATGTCCTTTCCCCCGTCCATGGCCAAAGTTGGACAGCAGGGTCCATGCAGGAACATATCCAGGCTACCTCAAACAGAAAGGCTGACCAGGGCCAGGTGTTTGCAAGCCCAGGAGTTTGAGGCTGAGGCGGAGGCCTAAGAGCTCAGGGCCAGCCAAGGATCTATGCTGAGACTGTTACAAAAAAGCCAAAAAACAAATACAAAAGGCGGAGGAGATTTTGTGCTAAAGCTATTTTGTGCAAGCAGCACATTAAATGGTGTGTGTGTGTTAACAGTGCTGTTAAGGTTTTTGTGGTCGAGTATTAGCTGGAAAATCATGTTTTCTTAAGACAGAATCTGGGAAGGCTTGTCAACACACACGAGTTGAGATTCCTGGAACTTGGGCTGTTTGAGGAAGGGAGAATCTGAAGGACTGTGTAGAGGCCTTAAAAGGAAAGTCTGTTCACAAAGAGACAAAGGGACTGACTTATGTATAAACTTAAGAGGAATGGACAGTTTAAAAATTCCTCAACGTTTAAACACACCGAGGCGGGCCACTCGGGCTGTTAACAGATTAACCCACAGATTTCAAGTTCTGATTTGTTTTTTCTTAAATAATAATAATAAAAAAAAGCCTTGAGGCCTGCATACAACCAACTTGAAGCTCTTATCTACACACATGTACAGTATTTATAAGTAGCTCACAGGCAAACTGAACTGTATGGACCACAGACCCGTCCCAGAGCTGGTGTCAAGCCAGCTCCAGCCTCAGACTTACACAAGACGAAAGACACCAGCCAGAGCCGAGACGCAAAACGAGGTCCCGGCCCCTCGGTGCGCGTGGATGGATGGCGGCGGGCGGGGCGCGGGGCGCGGGGCGGGCCGGCCCCGGGGTGCCCCGGCCGGGCCCGCCGGCTCAGGGCACGCCCTCCCGGCGCTGGCAGCACTGCGACGGCGGCGCCGACCAGTCGTAGACGTAGGAGAGGCGCAGCTGCACCTCGCGGCGGCAGAGGCGGCCCTCGCTCTGCAGCGTGCGCTGCTTCTCGCGCATGTCCTCGGGGCTCTGCTTGTGCGTCACCAGGTACTGGTTGCTGCAGCCGCGCGACTTGTACTCGGTGTCGAAGCGCGGGTCGTGCTCGCGCCGCACGTCCACCGGCGCCAGCCAGGCGCCCAGCGACACGTCCTCGCTGTGCCAGGCGCTCAGGAACTCGCGGGCGCCGCGCAGGTAGCGCACCAGGTCGGCCGACAGCACGTAGCCGCCGCCCAGCGCGTAGGGCAGGTAGAAGTCGCAGAGCTGCCAGGCCGCCTCGCGCCAGCGGCCGCCGGGCTTCACGCGCCCGCGCCCCGAGAAGAAGCCCCAGTAGAGGCGGCGGCGGCGCGCGGGCTCGCGCGCGCGCAGGTCGGCCAGCACGGCGTCCAGCCGCACGAACGAGTCGTCGTCCGCCTTGAGCACGAACTCGAAGGCCACGTGCTCGTCCAGCCAGCACAGCATGGCCAGCACCTTGGCCGTGAGGTTCTCGTAGGCGTCGCGCAGCGCGGGCAGCAGCAGCAGGTCCCCGTGCCGCGCCTGCTCCAGCTGCAGCGCGCGCCGCTCCTCGGCGCCCAGGCCCGCGGCGCCCACCACGAAGCGCGCCCACACGTCCCCGGGCGCGCCGCGCCGGCCCGCGCCCAGCCACGTGCCGCGCACGGCGCGCCGGCGCTCGGCGGCGCGGGGCGCGCTGGCCACCAGCACGGCCAGGAAGGCCGAGGCCCGGGGCGCGGCGCCCGCGGCGGGCCCGGCCTCCGCGCCGCCCTCGGACGCGCAGCGCGCCAGGTACAGCAGCGCCGCGCCGCACAGCGCCAGGCCGCCCAAGCCCAGCGCCGCGCGGCGCCGCCACGCGCGCCGCAGCAGCTTCATGGCGCGGCGGCCGGAGGGCGCGTGCGCGCGCGCGCGGCGGCCCCGCTCCCCCGGCCCCTCCCGGGCCTCCTTCCAGCTCCCCCGTCCGGGGCGCCGGCCCCGGCCGGCGGGCGGCGCACCTCGCGGCAGTGGAAAAGAAGCCCGAGAAGTCCCGCGTGGCTCGGAGTGCGCGAGTTGGCGGCGGCGGCGGCGGCGGCGAGGACCCTGCCGGGAGCGGCGGTCACGTGATTCCGCGCAGCCTTCTCATTGGTCGTCTCGGAGAGGCCGCGTAATCACTTCCGCCCGCAGGAATCATGGCGGCTCCGGCGTCCGCGCGGAAGGCCGCGCCCGCTCGCGCCGCCCCCGGCCGTCCTGCCTGCCACTTCCCGCAAGAAAGATGGCGGCCGTCTGAAGCCAGGGTCGCTGGCGGCGTCTCGGACGCTCCGGGCCGCTCTCCTCCCCCCACCGCCGCGCGGCCGGAGGCCGGTGAGTGACGGCCTTGCCGGCCACCGCACGCCCGGCCCCAGGCGCCGCGGCCGCCCTGCGAGGCCGGCCCGGAGGCAAGACCGCCACGGGCCGGGCGCGGTCCCTGGGCCCGCCCGGCGTGACCCCGGAGGCGCCCGGCCCGCCCCGCGCGCGGGCCCTCGCCCGGAGCCCGGGGACGGCGAGCGGCCGGCCCGGTACGCGCTGGCCTCGGGCCTCGGGCCCGGCCGCTCTGCCGCCGAGTCCGCGGGGCCGCCCGCGTCGGGAGCCCCGCCCCGCCGTCTCTGTGTCTGTCTGTCTCTCTCTCTCCCTGTCTCTCTGTCTCTGTCTGTCTGTCTCTCTCTCTGTCTGTCTGTCTCTGTCTCTCTCTGTCTGTCTCTGTCTCTGTCTGTCTCTGTCTGTCTGTCTCTCTCTCTGTCTGTCTGTCTCTGTCTCTGTCTGTCTCTGTCTCTGTCTCTGTCTGTCTGTCTCTCTCTCTGTCTGTCTGTCTCTGTCTCTCTCTGTCTGTCTCTGTCTCTGTCTGTCTCTGTCTGTCTGTCTCTGTCTCTATCTCTGTCTGTCTCTCTCCCTGTCTGTCTCTGTCTGTCTGTCTCTGTCTCTGTCTCTCTCTGTCTCTCCGTCTCTGTCTCTCTCTGTCTGTCTGTCTCTGTCTCTGTCTGTCTCTGTCTGTCTGTCTCTCTGTCTCTGTCTCTATCTGTCTGTCTCTCTCCCTGTCTGTCTCTGTCTGTCTGTCTCTGTCTCTCTCTGTCTGTCTCTGTCTCTCTCTGTCTGTCTGTCTCTGTCTCTGTCTGTCTCTGTCTCTGTCTGTCTGTCTCTCTGTCTCTGTCTCTGTCTGTCTCTCTCCCTGTCTGTCTCTGTCTTTCTCTGTCTGTCTCTCTCTGTCTGTCTGTCTCTCTCTCTGTCTGTCTCTCTCCCTCTCCATCTCTCCCCCAACATACTCCTAGTTCTGAGCCTAAACCAAGAGTTTTGCTTTCTTCTCTTCCCTCCCTCCCTCTGTCTCTGGCCGTCTGTTGGTCTGTCTCTCTTTTTGGAGGGTCTGGGGATCGACTCCAAGGCCTCACAAGTGTTCGGCAAATGCTCTACCATTCATCCCCAGGCTCTCAGCAGAGCTTCTAGATTGTCTTTTTGACCGCAAGCAATAGTCTGGTGTCACCAGGATTGAAACCCAAAGGTGGTAAATAAAGAAGTTCCCTCCCTGATCTGAGGGGCGATCTGAGATCTGTGTAGATTGCTTTTTCCTGGACCTGTCTACAGTAAAGTTCTAAGTTACAAATTAAGCCCAAGCCTAGATTAGCAGCAGTCAATAAGAAAAGTAGGAAAATTAAGGTGGCATATTGTGATGAAAGTTATTTGTGATTCCTCTCAGGGAAGACAGATATTAATCATTTTGGAGTCTAACAGCAGGTAGACTTCAGTGAGGATGTATCCACCCTCTTTTTGTGAAGTTTGATTGACTAGTCTGGAACTGATACCTCTAGGGGCTGTGGTGCATGAAGTTCCCCTTCCTTGAGCTCCTGATGCAATGGCACATGCAGAGGTCAGGAGAGGAGCCGTGTACAGCTTGTCCAGCCATGCTGTTCTTGTTGCTCTCCCAATAAGACGCCTACTCTTGGCTGAAGAGGTGGGGGCTCAGTGGCAAAGTGCCTGCCTAGCATATGTGAGGCCCTAGCTAGCTTCCATCATCAGTACAAAAAAACCCCACAAAACTATGTGAACTGAGGAGAGGAAGTTTCGTTTGATGGGCGCCTGATATTTGTAGCTATTTTGGGTTGTTTTTCACGTTAAGCATGTGTGAGTAACTTCCCTGTATTAATCTAGATAAATAGAGTTGAAAACTGACTGTTCTTTCAAGGAGCAAAGTACAGTGTATTTGTTCATAGCATGTATTTCTATGAAAGCAGAGAGTGGAATTAACCCTAGGAGGAAGTGGCCTTGGTTCTTACCAAATGCTTGCCTGGCTTGGAGAGCCAAAGCAGACAGGATCATACCTCAGCAGAAAGGAAGTTCCCTGGCCAGTGCTGAGCACAACGTGAGCATATATGCTTCAGAATCCCTCTCTTGGGGGACTCTGGGCTGGTTCAGCTTCTGGCCACCTTGGAACAGCCCTGCAGGTGTGACCTTTTACTTGGGAGCAGCACTTTCATTGTTTAATGTTCTCAGAGACAGCATTTGTTGAACATATACTAGCAGTGCTTAGGGTGCAGAAGTGGAGTAAGAGGAAGTCCTTGCCTGGGCAGAATAGGAGACAAACAACTGCAGTACTCACTTGGGGGCCTGGTGGGTGTTTACCAGGACAGACTCTAGGAAAGAACGCAGGTGTGTGTGTGTGTGTTGGTACACATCTGTGCTAAGGACTTGTGTCTCATGTAATAAAATGAATGTTTGGTGAAGTATTTGCCGGGCTCCACTAAACAATGGGTCTCTTTCTCTCTTTTGTAGGCTATTAGCTGCTCACTGGGGTCTGAAGCCCGCAGTTTGCCTTCGGCCTTCAGTCTTCTCTGTGGTAGCTGGGGCTCTTACGTTGAGCTGGGAGCTCCCATCCTTCCCTGCCACTTGCCTGTCTTCAGCTTTTGGCTCACACCTTGCAGGCACCCACTGTGGTCTAGCTGGCAGCAATGACATCCAGGCAGGGTCACCTCTGTGGTCTAGCTGCCCAGTGCCTTTGGCTCCTGGGCTTCATCCTTCTGATGGATGTGTCTGCCCGACCTGCCAATCACTCATCCACTCGGGAGAGAGTAGCCAACAAAGAAGAGAATGAAATCCTGCCTCCGGACCACCTGAATGGGGTGAAGCTAGAGATGGATGGACATCTCAACAAAGACTTCCACCAGGAGGTCTTCTTGGGGAAAGACATGGATGGGTTTGATGAAGATGCAGAGCCACGCAGGAGCCGGAGGAAGCTGATGGTCATCTTCTCCAAGTAGGTGACCCATGCGTTGGCTGAAGGGCACCTTCATTTGCTTGCCCACTTGCCTGGTTGCCCAGTGTGGGAAGTGACGTGCTGGGGAAGTTGCTGCAAGTGTCTGTTCAGGGGTGCAGTGTGTGAGCTGAGGATCTAGTGGGAACCCCAAGTCTCCTCCAGGACCCTGGGTGGGTAGGGTTTGGAGAGCCAGAGCCAGACTGCCATGCTGTGCCCGGGTCCTCACAGCCAGGAAGACAGGAGTCAGACTCCCAAGCGTCTGCACTCTCTGGGAGCAGTGTGTGTGCTTACCCTGTCTGTAGGCTGGTTCAGCAGACGGGGCTGGACACAGAATGGTTCTTCAGGCTCTAGTACCATTTAGAGGCCTACCCCAGGATGGCCCTGGAGAGTGTCTGACTGTCAGTCAGGTGAAGCAAGCTCATGATATCCCCTCCGTTTTGTGTGTAATCTGCCCCTGTGGCTCTGTCCCCAAAGCCTTGGGTCTCTTCCTCTTTCTTCATTGGACACAACATGAGGTCCACACAAGGTCTTTGCCCTGAATTCTGTAATTCCCCATGGATGAGAATATGCTTGTGTGGTTGTCCAAAGCATATAAAACATCAAGACCATGATCTGGGGCCAGGGATGTGGCTTTCGTGGCTGATCTCTTGCTTAGCATGTGCCAGGCCCTGGGTTGAATCCCTAGCACTAAAATAAAACAGTATAATCCATTGGAAGCCATGACTGGAGGGTGGACCTAGTCCTGATAACCGGTGTACACACTGCCACCAAAGTAGCAGGTCCTGCCCCAACACAGTGTTCTCTGCTAGCCAGCAGGCGCCTCGTACCCGGCTCTCCACTTCACCACTGTTGGTGACAGAGGTGTTCCCAGGGCCAAGCAGTGTCCATGTGTCTGTGGAGGGTCTTTATCCATGTGTCTGCCTTCAGAGTAGATGTGAACACTGACCGGCGGATCAGTGCTGAGGAGATGCAGCGCTGGATCATGGAGAAGACGGCAGAGCACTTCCAGGAGGCTGTCAGGGAAAACAAGCTGCACTTCCGAGCTGTCGACCCGGATGGTGATGGTAAGTGGGCCCACACAGGAGGTGCCGTGGCTGGGGCCGCGGTGTGTACTGACTTGGTCAAGTGGGACCTCGAAGGTAAGACTTCAGGCCATGGAAGTAGAAAGTGGAGGCCAGAGTTGGAGGCCAGGCTGTGGGGGAGGACACTGAGGCCCACTGACTGAATTCAGCCAGAGTTGTTTTCACATGGCTAATGGCTAATGTTTGTTGAAGTTGTAGGGCATAGAACAAATAGCAAACGTGACCCAAGTATTTTAACTGAGAAAATCACAGTAGCTCCACAAGATAGTAATCCCAGTACTCAGAGGCTGAGGAAGGAGGATCAACTGTATGAGGCTAGCCTGAGTTGCATAGGAATGTTCCATGTCAAAAAACAAACCAAGAAGCCAGGCGCTGGTGGCTCATGCTTGTAACCCTGGCTACTCAGGAAGCTGAGATCTGAGGATCATGGTTTGAAGCCCCAGAGTTCAAGCCCCAGAACTGGCACAAAAAAAAAAAAAAAAAAAAAGGAAGAAAAAAGAAAATCTGCTCTCATTAGAAGTTTGATGCTTGGGTTTGGGAAGGTGGCTAAGTGGTAAAGTGTTTGCCTAGCATGCAGGAAGCCCTGGGTTCCATTCCTCAGCACCATGTACACAGAAAAAGCCAGAAGTGGTGCTGTGGCTCAAGTGGTAGAGTGCTTGACTTGAGCAAGAGAATCTCAGGGCCAGGGCTGAGGCCCAGGACTGGCAAAGCTGTCTGCTTTCACATTGTTCCTTGTTAAACACCCTGATGGGCAGTCTCCTCTTTCAGGCCGTGTGTCCTGGGATGAATACAAAGTGAAGTTTTTGGCAAGCAAAGGCCACAATGAGAAGGAAGTTGCTGATGCCATCAAGAATCACGAGGAGCTTAAAGTGGACGAGGAGAGTGAGTGCTGTTCAGGTTGTTGGGTTGGGAGGGGTGGACTGACCCAGAATGGGGGAGACGCCAGCTGTGTAGATGACTTGGGATGCCCGGGTTGCATCCCTGGGCACAGGCTCGTCTGGCTATCAGGGGGTCCAGGTACATCCAATGTAGCTGTACGCTTACGGGTATTGATTGGGACAGCTGGCCCAGCATGGTGGTCAACGGAGAAGTGGGAAGCTGGGGCCGAGACTCCACTGCCATCAGAGCGCCCCCTGAAGGTCTGGAGGAGACAGAAGTGGCCAGCTGGGTGTTCCTTGGGCACTCCACCCACTGAGGACAGGGCGTTTCCTGGAACCTAAGAACTTGGTGACCTGGACGGTGCTGGTGCCTCACGCTTGTAATTCTAGCTACTTAGGAGGCTGAGATCTCAGGAGGCTGAGATCTGAGGATCGTGGTTCAAAGCCAGCCCAGGCAGGAAAGTCCGTGAGACTCTTATCTCTACTTAACTACCAGAAAACTGGAAGTGGCGCCGTGGGTCAAGTGGTAGAGCGCTAGCCTTGAGCTGAAGAGCACTGGGACAGCGCTCAAGCCCAGAGTTCAAGCACCATGACCGATTGCCCTGGTACTTGTGCTCATTTGGGACTCCTTGGAATCTGGGCCCTGTCTCAGGCCCGTTGTCTGCATCTCTACTCTCAGGACTTGATGGAGTGTGTTTTGAATTCATTCTGTTCCAGAGTCCTTGGGCCCCCGAGTTAGCAGTCCATGCTCAGCCGCCTCTGACCTTGTGCAGCCTGTGTGTTGATCTCTCCAACCTTAGTGTGCTGTAGGGCCCTCTATTGTTTGTTCACTCTGGGACTGTGAGCAGCTGCCAGGGACTGGGGGCTGGGAGGTCTGTGCAGTGCCTGCTCCTGTGCGGCCTCTAAGAAACACTTCTGGCACACAGTGCGGGTCCTGGGAGAGAGTCTGCGCTACCGCAGCTCTCTGGCTGTATGGCTTTGACTCCTCCAGTGTCGTGGCTGACTCCTCTTCATCTTTGTAGGGACGATGGTCACTAGGGTTGGGCTACCTAGATCCAGGAAGGCTTGTCTCCAGAGTTATAAGAGCGTCAGCCTTCAAGACCCTCTTCCCAAACAAGGGCCTGTTCCTGGGCTGGGCTGGGTAGGGGGGAGGGAGAAGAGGGAATGTCCACTCAAGTCTTAGCATAGCTGGGCTGGGCAGCAGCTGCAAGAATACTGTGCAGTCTTCCAAAATGACCCTAAATAGAGCACAGTTCTGTGCCAGCAGCTCTGCCTGTCCTGGTAAGGGTTCAGGGTAGACTTCAGCCCTCCATTGCTGGATAGACAGACCCCAAGCTCGAGTGTGCCCACCTTTTATCTTTTTCAGGCACAGTTACTCATGCAAGCTGCCTCAGTCTCCCTAAGTAGCTCCCTAGAAGGCTCTGCCACCGGGCTGTGCTTCTTGCTTTCCTGTAAATACATCTTGTGTGCAGTGAGATTGCCATGGGGTAGGCTGCAACCAGAAAGCACTGAGGTGTGAGGCCACTAGACCCTCTGTGGTCACTTGGAGGTTGATGGGGTCTTGATGGGCCTGTTGTAGCCTGGGCTTAGCTGTGGGCAGGGCAGAGCCCGTGGCTGGGCCCTTAGGGCCCTGGGGCTGAACGACCTTCTGGAAGATACTAGAACACCAGGTATTGCCTGCTGGCCATAGAGACTGGCCTGTGGGAGGTAGCTGCTGCTTTGGAGTGCTAGGCCCACGTGTCCAGAGCCGGGCCCCGCCCCACGGCAGGTTTGTGGGCAGCTCTGCTCGCTGCTCAGTCATTTCTGGAAACCGGGCTTTCTGTAGTGTGTTGTCCTTGTGCAAGCACACGTGAAGGGCAAAGGAACAAAAGTGACACCTTTGTTCCGATCGCTGACCTGGTGAGTCAGCTTGGCAGCCAAGCTTCCACTTCTGCCAAGGAACAAACAGCTCAGCGTGTGCCGGGAAGCAGGGAGCTAGACGGCCTAGACGGCCGGGGCCTGTGTGCTGCCAGGGCCAGCGCTGTGTGGCCGGCCCCTAGATGGCCGGGGCCTGTTTGCTGCCTCTCCAGGGCCAGCGCTGTGTGGCCGGCCCCTAGACAGCCGGGCCTGTGTGCTGCCAGGGCCAGCGCTGTGTGGCCGGCCCCTAGACGGCCGGGCCTGTGTGCTGCCTCTCCAGGGCCAGCACTGTGTGGCCGGCTCCTAGACGGCCGGGCCTGTGTGCTGCCAGGGCCAGCGCTATGTGGCCGGCCCCTAGACGGCCGGGGCCTGTGTGCTGCCTCTCCAGGGCCAGCGCTGTGTGGCCGGCCCCTAGACGGCCGGGGCCTTTGTGCTGCCTCTCCAGGGCCAGCGCTGTGTGGCCGGCCCCTAGACGGTCGGGCCTGTGTGCTGCCTCTCCAGGGCCAGCACTGTGTGGCCGGCCCCTAGACGGCCGGGGCCTGTGTGCTGCCTCTCCAGGGCCAGCGCTGTGTGGCCGGCTCCTAGACGGCTGGGCCTGTGTGCTGCCAGGGCCAGCGCTGTGTGGCCGGCCCCTAGACGGCCGGGGCCTGTGTGCTGCCAGGGCCAGCGCTGTGTGGCCGGCCCCTAGACGGCCGGGGCCTGTGTGCTGCCTCTCCAGGGCCAGCGCTGTGTGGCCGGCCCCTAGACGGCCGGGCCTGTGTGCTGCCTCTCCAGGGCCAGCGCTGTGTGGCCGGCCCCTAGACGGATGGGGCCTGTGTGCTGCCTCTCCAGGGCCAGCGCTGTGTGGCCGGCCCCTAGACAGCCGGGGCCTGTGTGCTGCCTCTCCAGGGCCAGCGCTGTGTGGCTGGCCCCTAGACGGCCGGGCCTGTGTGCTGCCTCTCCAGGGCCAGTGCGTCCTGTGTGGCCGGCCCCTAGACGGCCGGGCCTGTGTGCTGCCAGGGCCAGCGCTGTGTGGCCGGCCCCTAGATGGCCGGGCCTGTGTGCTGCCTCTCCAGGGCCAGCGCTGTGTGGCCGGCCCCTAGATGGCCGGGCCTGTGTGCTGCCTCTCCAGGGCCAGTGCGTCCTGTGTGGCCGGCCCCTAGACGGCCGGGCCTGTGTGCTGCCTCTCCAGGGCCAGTGCGTCCTGTGTGGCCGGCCCCTAGACGGCCGGGCCTGTGTGCTGCCTCTCCAGGGCCAGCGCTGTGTGGCCGGCCCCTTGGCCTTGCGTCCCGCGTTCGTCTTCTGGGCGCTTGCACCTGTGTCCTGCACAGCAGGTGCTCATGGATGTGGCTCTCTCAGCACAGGAAGTCCTGGAGAACCTCAAAGACCGCTGGTATCAGGCAGACAATCCTCCTGCTGACCTGCTGCTGACCGAGGAGGAGTTCCTGTCATTCCTGCACCCTGAGCACAGCCGGGGCATGCTCAAGTTCATGGTCAAGGAGATCGTCCGGGACTTGGGTAAGGCCATGTCCGTCTCCCCGGGATTCTAAGCCCAGTTGTGACCAGCGGGCAGGGATTAGTATACCTCCTGAGTGGGCAGTGGCCTCACAACTCTGCTGCTGAGCCCAGCCCCTCCCTGACCCTAGAGCGAGCAGAACGGCTTGACTTGGTTTCCAAGCAGGTCTTGCTTGCTGGTTATGCTTCCTGAGATTTGGGCCAAAGCCCAAGGTGAGCACCTGTTAACACGGGTGTTTATGTAAGATCCCTAGCGGGGCCCCCCACCCCTCATCCACAGACCAGGATGGAGATAAGCAACTCTCCCTGCCCGAGTTCATCTCCTTGCCTGTGGGCACCGTTGAGAACCAACAGGGCCAGGACATCGACGACAACTGGGTGAAAGACAGGAAAAAAGAATTTGAAGAACTGATTGATTCCAACCACGATAGTATTGTGACCATGGAGGAGCTGGAGGTGAGTGTGCCCTGTGGGTGGCCTGAAGAGGCTGGGCGTGCCCTGTGGACAGCCCCGAGGCTTTGCACTGAGCCAGCAGCAGTGGTCCCCAAAGAACGGGGGCTGTCTGCGAGGGGGCCTGATCCAGAAGTGCCGAGTCTGCTGAGGTCTGGCCGAAGCGATCACTGTGTGTCAGTGGCTCAGGCCACTGTGGGGTCTCCAGTGCTTACAGCAGAATCTGGAAGGCTCTACCCGGCCTCAGCTGATTGGCTCTAGGTAGCAGCTCCCAGGCTACTCCCTGCATGGGGGTTCTTTTGGGTTTTTTTTGGTCCGGTCGTGGGGCCTGAACTCTGGGCCTGGGTGCTGTCCCTCAGCTCTTCAGCTCAAGGCTAGCGCTCTACCACTTGAGCCACAGTGCCACTTCCGGCTTCTTTCTTTTTGCTTATGTGGTGCTGAGGAATCGAACCCAGGGCCTCATGCATGCAAGGCAAGCGCTCTACAACTGAGCCACCTTCCCAGCCCGCATGGGGGTTCTTTGCCGCTAGGGATGGAACCTAGACATGCGTGTAGGCAAGCGCTCTACCTCTGAGTCTTACCCTGTCCCATGTTAGGGGAGTCTTTTCTTTTATCTTTGTACCTTTGCCAGGGCTTGAACTGAGTCTTCCATGCTTTATTTTTTTTTTGGCGGGGGGGGGGGGGGGGTGTGTCTGTCATGGGGCCTGAACTCTGGGCCTGGGCGCTGTCCCTCAGCTCTTCAGCTCAAGGCTAGTGCTGTACCACTTGAGCCACAGTGCCACTTTTGGCTTTTTCTGTGGATGTGGTGCTGAGGAATGGAACCCAGGCCTCATGCATGCGAGGCAAGCACTCTACTGTTGAGCCACCTTCCCAGGCTCTTTCATGTTTTTCCTTAGCTTTCTTGCTCAGGGCTGGTGGTCTACGGGCCATTCCACCACTTGAGCCATACCTCAACTTTCAGATTTTTGGTGGTTAATTGGAGATAATCACTTGGATTTGTCTCCCCATGCTAGCTTCCAACCGTGATTTGAGTGCCCTGAGTAGCTAGGATTGCAGGGGGGCATCTGGCTTTTTAGGAGATTCTTACTGCTCCTTTTGTGTAGGACCAGAGGAAAAGCACATGCTGACCCAGTTCTGACGTGGCCTGTGTGCAGGGGTGGGAGTTAGGCATGCCGGCCATCCCTGCCACCGCCGTGGACCGGTGTGTGTGTCAGTTGTCCTGTGTGAGCCTTTCAGACTTGTTTTTCTCGCTGCTGAATGAGCAGTGTGGTCTTACACAGCGTTGGTCCTGTTGATAGCTGAGCAGGGTGTGGCTGGGGTTCAGGGACCCTGGTCCTGGAGGCTAGTCCCTACCCCGTGGTCCAGTGCGTCTCTGCAGTGTACGCCCCACTGCAGATCCAGGGGGTGTTCCAGCAGTCCTGATTCCTCACCATGTTCCATCCTGGCTGTTCTGGAATGTTCCAGAACATGCTACATCCTCATCCTGCAGCCCACGGGCACTTTAAATGAGGAACTGCTTTGGTGGATGGTTATAGTGGTATAGCCTCACCCCTGAGGACAAAAGTGCTGCTGATCCCCCGACCTGCGTCCATGTCTGAGCTCTCATGGCCACATCGCAGGTGTGGGGACAAGTTGAGCTGGGCCACACTGAGCTCTGTCCCATGGGTGCTGGGTGGGACTCTGACCCGTGCTGGCTTCTGCTGCAGAGCTACATGGACCCCCTGAATGAGCACAACGCTCTCAATGAGGCAAAGCAGATGATTGCCATTGCCGACGAGAACCAGAACCACCACCTGGAGCCCGAGGAGATCCTCAAGTACAGCGAGTTCTTCACAGGCAGCAAGCTGATGGACTATGCCCGCAACGTGCACGAGGAATTCTGAGTGCCGCGGGCCGAGCCCCGCTCCTCCCCGACCTCCGCGCATTCTGAGTGGCTGTGGCCCGTGAGGCCTGGCAGTTAGCCAGGGCCCCAGGGGGCTCTGGAGCAGCTACCTGTGCTGCATGGGGTGCGGTGTTCCCCACCCTGAGGCCCCGGAACCCCCTTCTTCCTGCTTCCTGAGGACACGTGCTCTGTGTCATCTTGGGGCCACGCCGTGCCCAGGGTTATTAAAGATGTGCTTAGCAGGTCGGGTGTCTCCTCTGCAGCGTCGGAAGGCCGGCAGCCCTTGACCCCCGCCTCTGGACTGTCAGAACTGCCGAGCCCTTGGCCGCCGAGGGCCTGGGTCACGACAGGGCCCGACCCCGGGCTTGTAGAAAATAGCACACCCTCTTGCCATTTCCTTGAAAACAGGTTCAGACAGAATTAGAACCTGCTTTGCTAGAAGTAAGCTATCTCCTTCCTGTTGAGGACCCGGGGGCCACGGAGTGGGTCCTCCCCCAGCCCATAGAACCGCAGGATCTCAGGCCGCAGTCTGAGAAAACAGATTTGTTGGCACAAGAGTGATTAAACAGGAGTTGCTGTATCTTGTAGATTCGTTCTTTAGGTGGAAACAAAAACAGTTGGGGACTTTGTGGCTGGGTGGTTTCCACTAGAAGCTTTTGAGGTGGGTGATCTGGTTAACGGGGTTGTAGATGGTGCTAAGCGTTGATGCGATTCTGCCAGGGGCAGAAGCGGGGCCAGGACCTCAGCCTTCTCCAGTCTGCTGGGGGGAGACAGGCGGGAGAGCATGTGTGAGGAGCACTGTGTGGGGTGGGCTCCACCCGAGTTGGGTCTTACTGTTGGTATGAACAGTGGACAGTGGGCTGAGGGAGGCCGCGCGTGTGTGTGTGTGTGTACGCGCGCGTGTGCGTGCGTATGTGTGTGTCCGTGAGCCCGTGCGCGCCTGCCTGCCCGTACGTGCACATGTGTTTCAGGAACCAGTCATGAGCGCTGCCTCAGTGTCTGAGGATGGCCCTTGTGACGGGGCTTTTCCCGCTTCTGTGCCCGTGGGGATCCCTGCTGGCAGCCAGTGTGGTGCCTTGCTTTCCAGGCCTCCGACAGGGTGTGTCGGGAAGGCTCTGCAGACCCTGACCCTCTGCAGCGTCTGCCCTCTGAGAGTTCGCCCCAGGCCAGTGCCACTGGCTGCCCCTCAGCTCTCGGTCCTGGGACAGAAGGGTCATGTTGCATGGACTCGGGACCCTGCCTTGGGACAGTGCAGTCCCGGAGGTGCCCTCCGGGCTAGAGTACGAGGATCAACCATGTGTTTAGCTGTGTGGGGCTTCCCTGTGACTTGTGCTGTAGGAGCGAGGGCCCTGTTCGATGTCTTGACCGGGTAAAGCTCACCACATGTGTCCAAAGGGAAGAGAAGTTTAACACCAGGGACGTTGGCAGGCTGACTCCATCAAGACAGAGCAGCAGCTGGCATTAAGCCAGAGTTACAGGGGAGAGAGTCTGCACGGAAGAGCTCAAAACTGCAGTCAGTAACGGAAAGTTTATGGTGAGGTGGTTGATGCATTTGGTCAGGCAAAGTCAGGACCTAGAGACTCAGTCAAGTGGAACCAGCCACAAGTCCCCGGAAGCTCAGCCCCCAGCCCCCACCCCCCAATTATGCCTTCTAGAGTGCCGGTGCCCCTGGAGACTTCAAAACCCCAGCTCGCTGGGCATGGCGAGGCAGCTCCTGCCGGCAACGCTCCCGCGTGGCTCTTCCCGGAGCTCGCCGGGCCTGGCGAGGCAGTTCCGGCCGGAGCACATCATGCAGGGGGGCTCTGCTGCCAGATGGGCTCCCTGCGGGAGGGAGGGGCACGTGTGCATTCAGGATGTCTGTTGTTGTTTAATTAGTTGTACAAAGGGGTTTTAATTACACAGGTCAGGTTATGGTATAATGCTTCTTGATCAGTGTTGCCTGTTCTCCATCTTTCTTTTTTTGGGGGGGCCTGAACTCGGCCTGGGCGCTGTCCCTCAGCTCTTCAGCTCAAGGCCAACACGCTACCATTTGAGCCACAGCGCCACTTCCAGCTTTTTCTGCTTATGTGGTGCTGAGGAATTGAACCCAGGCTCTCATGTGTGCGAGGCAAGTGCTCTACCACTGAGCCACCTCCCAGCCCTGCTCTCCATCTCTCTTCATCTCCGCACCTCAGATGCACTGGGCTTCAATGCATCTTCGGTCACCTGTCGTAAGTGCCGATCACCAGCCAGATAGGACTACCCGAAGGCAGGCAGATCCCTACAGAGGTCCCCATAGGAGAAGCACCTCAGGATGAGCCCTGAGTTTACCTGGCCTTCAGCAGAGCGCTTGTGCAAATACAAGCCTTCCATCTCTGCAGGTCAGAGAACTGGGTTCAAACCTTGCTCCTCTGCTCGTCAGGTGGGGTGGTGCTGGCCCGCTACTGCCCTTCCAGGCTTGGGGAGGGGTCGTGGGACCCATTTCTCAGTAGTGGCGTTTCCTTCTGCCTGTTTCTCATCTGTAATTTGGCCCATGCCCGCCTGGTCTCCAGGCTGGGAATTTCTGTGAGTGGGCTGGGCCCCATCTCTCACCTGTGCTCTGGGTTGGGGATTCCCCTCCTCAATAGGGCTCTCTATCTGCAGCTCCTACGTTAACTTGGTAAAAGACATCCCATCAGAATTCTGTTGAGAAGTTAGAAAGGGGAGAGGCGTGGGGAGGCCTCTCAGCTCCAAATACCCATTTCTTCAGAGCAGCGGTAAGAGCCAGGGGCACTTACAGGTAAGAAAGGGTGAGTCTGCGTGGGTGTGTGAGCACATGGGTGTGTGAGCAGTGTGTGCTGCCTCGGTGGGTGCGTGGAGATGGGTGCAGGTGTGTCCCTCACATGTCCTAACGGCTGCAAGCACTCTGCCTCCTGTGTGTACAGCGTGGATCACCTCGGCCCAGTCCAAGGGCAAGGCGTGCGCCAGTGTTCCTCTGGAGTTCCAGACTCCGAGCAGCCATGTCCTCTGGAGGGAGGGTCCCCAGGCCTGGACTCTGCTCAGCTAGGGGCAGGGGCAGGAGCCTGTGTGTGTGTGTGTGTGTGTGTGTGTGCGTGTGTGTGCGCACTGACACAGGCCTGAGCACACGCCTTCCCCACCACCTGCCAGTCTCCACCCCCACAGCCCTTATAGCCACATCCTCCAAGGAAAAACCCAGACTCCTGTGAAGGCGGAGGACAGAGGAGATGTGTGCAGAGGCTTGGCGGCCTGCAGCCCTGCTGCTGCTGGGCCTGGGGCTCGGAGCCTGGGCGCAGCTCCGCTGTGTTGGAAACACCTACCCTCAAGGTGTCCGGTGCTGTCCTGACTGCCAGCCTGGTGAGTGGCCGGGGCACTGGGGGTCGGGGGCTCCAGCGGAAGGAGAGTGATGGGAACACAGTGCAGCCGATCTGAGGGACTCGAATGACCCCGTGAGTGATGCGCCCGGCACTGGGGCTGCGCGGGGGCTGGCCCGTCAGGGGTGGGCCAGGCCCCGCTCTGGCCCAGGGGCGCTGACTCGCTGAGGAAGAGCCCACGGTCCAGGCCACGCCACCGCGGCTGACCCGCTGACCTCACGGCAGGCAGCGGGATGGTGCGGCGATGCGACCGCACCAGAGGCACCGTGTGCCGCCCCTGTGAGCCCGGCTTCTACAACGACGTGGCCAACTATGAGCCCTGTAAGCAGTGCACAAAGTGCAACCACGGTGAGCCCCTCCGGCCCCCCCCCCCCCCCCCCCCCCGCCGTGCCCGTGCCCACGCTCCCCCCCTCCGCCGTGCCCCTCCCCCCCGCCCGCCGTGCCCCTCCCCCCGTGCCCCCTCCTCCCCGTGCCCCTCCCCCCGTGCCCCCCCCCCCCCGCCTGCCATGCCCGTGCCCACGCTCCCCCCTCCACCGTGCCCCTCCCCCCCGCCGTGACCCCTCCCCCCCCGCCGTGCCCCTCCCCCCCACCGTGCCCCTCCCGCCCGCCGTGCCCCTCCCCCCCGCCGTGCCCCCTCCCCCCCCGCCGTGCCCCCCCCCGCCGTGCCCCTCCCCCCCGCCGTGCCCCCTCCCCCGCCGTGCCCCCTCCCCCCGCCGTGCCCCCTCCCCCGCCGTGCCCCTCCCCCCCGCCGTGCCCCCTCCCCCCCGCCGTGCCCCCTCCCCCGCCGTGCACCCTCCCCCGCCGTGCACCCTCCCCCCGCCGTGCCCCTCCCCCCCCGCCGTGCCCCCTCCCCCCGTGCCCCTCCCCCCCCGCCGTGCCCCTCCCCCCCGTCGTGCCCCCTCCCCCGCCGTGCCCCTCCCCCCCTCCGTGCCCCCTCCCCCCCGCCGTGCCCCCTCCCCCGCCGTGCCCCCTCCCCCACCGTGCCCCTCCCCCCCCTCCGTGCCCCCTCCCCCCCGCCGTGCCCCCTCCCCCGCCGTGCCCCCTCCCCCGCCGTGCCCCCTCCCCCGCCGTGCCCCTCCCCCCGCCGTGCACCCTCCCCCCGCCGTGCCCCCTCCCCCCCGCCGTGCCCCCTCCCCCGCCGTGCCCCCTCCCCCGCCGTGCCCCCTCCCCCCCGCCGTGCCCCCTCCCCCCCGCCGTGCCCCCTCCCCCGCCGTGCCCCCTCCCCCGCCGTGCCCCCTCCCCCGCCGTGCCCCTCCCCCCACCGTGCACCCTCCCCCCGCCGTGCCCCTCCCCCCCCGCCGTGCCCCCTCCCCCCGTGCCCCTCCCCCCCCGCCGTGCCCCTCCCCCCCGTCGTGCCCCCTCCCCCCGCCGTGCCCCCTCCCCCGGTGCCCCCTCCCCCCCCCCCCCCCCCCCCCCCCCGCCGTTCCCGTGCTCCCCCAGGCCGCCCGCAAGCAGCAGTGCGGGTGGCTCCCCGCAAGCCCCAGGCTGCCCGGGGGCTCCTGGGTGCCACCTCCTCCTGGGGCTGGAGCCCAGCCCAGACTCGCAGAGTCCGTGTGGAGCACGTGTTGGCAGGGTGGCCTTGTCTGTGCTGTCTGGATGGGAGGCTCTGGAGCGGGGGCCTTGGAAAGTCCTGATGCATGTGAAGAGGTCGGGAAAGGAGGCCGGAGGGCCAGCTGTCCCCAGGGCTTTGTGACGGGAAGAGACAGACTGGCCACAGGGAGAGGATCTCAGGAGTAGAGGAGTGAAAAGCCCAGGACCTCAGGATCCGCAGTCCCTCAGCCTCGGCTCTGGTCCACCTCCCCGGAGGCCTGACTGCCCGCGGCCAAGCCTCTGCCATAGCCCCAACCTCTCCATCCCTCCAGGAAGTGGAAGTGAGCTCAAGCAGAGCTGCACACCCACACAGGACACGATCTGCCGCTGTAAGCCCGGAACCCAGCCCCGTGAGGATGGCTACAAGCCTGGAGTGGGTGAGCTGGGGTGCCCGGGGCCCAGGCCCCGTGCGCTGGGCACCCTCCTCGCCGTGAGCTTTGGCAATGGTGAAATGAGGCCTTGTCCCACCTCACACGCCGCCTCTCCCTGGCACCTCTCTAATGGGCTGGGCTGGGTAGGGGCGTGGAGGGCTCCCAGTCCGCTTTCCGGCCAGGGCCAGTGGTGGCATGTGGCATGGAAGAGCTGCCCCCATTTGCCCCGGGCCTCACCTCTGACCGTCCCGGCATGGAGGCCAGCGGCGGTGTCAGGCGGTTAACTGCTCAGTATCTTCACGCAGACTGTGTCCCCTGCCCTCCTGGTCACTTCTCTCCAGGCGACAACCAGGCCTGCAAGCCCTGGACCAAGTGAGTGTCGTGGTGGGGACTGGGGTCCTGGAGGGTTAGAGGCTTGGTGTGCGGAGGCCAGGGCAGGGGGCAGAAGCTGCTGGCACACACTGGGCACACGGCCCTGGCTCAGCCCTCGAGGGCCTCTGTGGGGGGGTGGGCCTGTGGGGGGGGCCTCTGTGGGGGTGGGGGGTGGGGGGTGGGCCTGTGGGGGGGGGCCTCTGTGGGGGTGGGGGGTGGGGGGTGGGGGGTGGGCCTGTGGGGGGGATGGGCTTGTGGTGGGGGTGGTGAGCCTCTGTGGGGGTGAGGGCTTGTGGGGGGGGTGGGCCTCTGTGGGGGTGGGCCTCTGTGGGGGTGAGGGCTTGTGGGGGGGGTGGGCCTCTGTGGGGGTGGGCCTCTGTGGGGGTGAGGGCCTGTGGGGGGGCCTCTGTGGGGGTGGGGGGTGGGGGGTGGGGGGTGGGGGGTGGGCCTCTGTGGGGGGGGTGGGCCTGTGGTGGGGGTGGTGAGCCTCTGTGGGGGTGAGGGCCTGTGGTGGCCCTGTGAGGCCCTCCCTGAGTTCACTCCAGGGGGCAGCAGGGAAGGTAGAGGTAGGGTTAGGAGTGAGAATCCAGCAGGAGTAGGACAGGGCGGGCATGGGGAGGAAGGTGTGGAGGTCTGGGGGGTGGTCTAGGCAGCTGTCTCAGACGCCTTTGGTCTGGCGTTGTGATTACTCAATGTGGGCCCCTCCTCCGTGGCCTTGGCGGTGTCCCCTCTCCCAGCTGCTCCTCAGCTGGGCAGCGGACCCTGCGGCCAGCGGACGCCAGCTCAGACTCGGTTTGTGAGGATGAGCGCTCCCTGGCCACGCCAGCCTGGGAGACCCGGGATCCCGGCGCCAGGCCCACAGCCATGCCTCCCACTGAGGCCTGGCCTCAGACCTCTCAGCAGCCCTCCACACCCGCCTCAGAGGGCCCTGTGGGTAAGTGGGCATTGCCCAGCGAGGGGGAGGAGGAGGAGGGAGAGGAGGGAGAGACGGAGAGGACAGAGAGAGGGAGCTCACCCCGCCGGCCTCCTCTCAGGCCCCATGCTGGCTGCTGCCCTGGGCCTGGGCCTGGGCCTGGTCACCCCCCTGGCTGCCTTGCTTGCCCTCCACCTGCTCCGAGCGGCCTGGAAGTGGCCTGCTGGCCTCAAGCCCTCTGGTGAGTGCCCACTGTGGGCCCGCCCACCTCCTGGGCCGGCGAGGCCCACCTCTGACTCCCACCCTTGTCTCCTCCCAGGGGGAAGTAGCTTTCGGACGCCCATTCAGGAGGAGCAGGTGGACACACACTCCACGCTGGTGAAGGTCTGAGCTGCGCTTTAGGAGTGGGGTTCAGGGACAGAGGACTCCTTTACAGACCATCTGTCCTCCACACGTGTGCACCGTTCTAGGTGCTCAGCTGGCTCTGGCCTCTCCCGTGTATGTGTGTATGTACCCATGTATGCGTGTATGCTGTGCATACTGCCTGCTTGGAGCCACTCCAATAAACACACCGGTAACTGTGAGTCCTACAGCATAACCTGGCCGGAGAGGGCCTCAGGCCGAGGTGGTTGGGTCTGCTCCGAGCCTCGAGCCTGGGCCCGGGGCACTCCAGTGCCAAAGGGAATGGACAGGGCCTGGCTGGGGGCTTGTTGAGAAGCTCAGAGCCTCAGCCTCAGGTGATCCTGAAACCTCAGCCCATTGGAGTCATAATCCGGCACTGAGAGCAAGCAGGCCCCTGGGTCCTGGTCTGGAGGGGCCTGGTTCCACAGCTTAGGCCTTTGTGGCTGCCCCTGGTGCCTGGTTGTCCAAGACCTCCCTGGGTACCAGCCGGTGATTCTCCGGACTGTTGTCACCATTGGCTTGAGCCAAACGTGGGCTGCCCTGAGACCTGGCCACTCTATTCCTGGCAATCTACCCAGAAACAAGCACCCTTGGACTCCTTCAGCAACGCTGCGCCACACAGGCCAAGGGTGGAAAGGCTCAGATGTCTGCAGAATGGACAGACAATCCCAGTGAGTTCTGATGGGCTTTTGGGCTCTCTTCAAGATGGAGTTTGTGGCCTCACCCAGAGTTGCCCTAAGCTGTGTATGGCCAGCATCAGGGGCCCAGGTACCTAACCAAAAAGAAAGGAGCCACCTAGAAAACTGATCTCACACAGAAATAATGTGACCCAGATGTGGCTCACGCCTGTCATCCTAGCTACTCCTGTGGCTGAGATCTGAGGATCATGGTTCAAAGCCAGCCCAGGCAGGAAAGTCCATGAGACTCTTACCTCCAATTCATCACCAAAAAGGCTGAAGTGGATCTGTGGCTCAAGTGGTTGAGCTCTAGCCTTGAGCCAAAAAAGATAAGGGACAGTGCCCAGGCCCTGAGTTCAAGTCCTAGTCCTGGCACACACATGCACACATGCACACACACGCATGTGTGGGCACACACATGCACACGCACACACATGGACACACACAATGGTGTAGGACTGACTGCAATTGAACCAGAAGCCAGGCCAATCCAGGCTGATGCTGCATGCCATGTGTCAGGAACTGTTGACCCGCAGAGCACACATCGGATAACGTGAGGAGGTGTGCCAGGCCGGACAGTCATGTCCGCGTCTGCCCCTGCGGCCGCTGGCCTGGCCCTGCCCCTGTGCCCTGTGGTCATGGGCCCCAGCTTCCACCCAGTCTGTGGCTAGAGGTAATAATCAAGCCCTTGTGTCAAGCTGGGCATCCCAGTGGGGCATCCAGTGGCCGTGACCCACCACGGGGTCTGGATGGACTCTTCGGGTCCTCTGCACTTCCGCCGGCTCTTTCCTCTCAAATCTGACTCCCTCCCTCTTCCTCTTTTGACAACTTCCAGCCTCCTCCTGGGAGGACAGCACTTGATCCTGGGTCTGGCAGAGGTAACAGACACTGATCTACAGTCCCTGTCCTGGGGGGAACTGTCAGGCCTGGAGGGACAGGGGCAGGAGGTCAGTGGATGGGTTACATCCAAGGGGGACCTGGGAGATTGAGCCACACCAGGACCACCGCCCTCTGGAGACCCTCCTGGAGACGACGCACAGATCTACTCTCAGCGTTAGTCCAGGCCGCTCGGCCCCCCACACAGAGGAGGAACAGGGTCTCACAGGCAGCGCGCCGTTACCTGCAGGAGATGCGGGGGATTGTCTAGGGTCACAGGGATGTGTTGGCACAGACCTGGATAACTAGTCAGGTCCTTAAAAACAGGTAGAAACCCCAGTCCTGGACTGCCCTGTCCCTTCTTCTTGGTGGTGCCACCTTGCACCCCAGGGGCTGTCTGGTGGCATACCTTTGTCCCCAGGTTCCTCCAAGAAGGGACGTCTATGACAGACGGCTTGGAGTCCAGGGTCCAGGACGCCTCCCTGGGAGGCTCAGCTCTGAGGCTGAGGAAACTAGAATCAGCTGGCAACTCCTGACGCCCTGCTTCCTGAACCACCTGCAGCAGCAAGATTTTAAAAGGGCTTCCTGGACCTGACACCTCACAATGGGCACTAACTACTCCCGCCTGTGGCAACCCAGCCCCACCCTGAACCCGCTCCCTGCAGAGCTCCCACTGGAAGGATGGGAAATAGCCCAACAACCCAAAGCCCATGTGGGGGAAACTGAGGCTCAGCCCCCCCCCTCGAGGCTCATGGCCCCTCCACTTCCCTTCCAGATGTATTGTACAGGCCTAGGCCAGTGAACAAAAGCAGCTCAGAGACCACTGCTGCCATGAGCTGGGGCAGGCTGTGCAGCCCTGAGCCTCAGGGCCTGTGGGAATGCCCAGTGGGGATGACCTTCCTGGGAAGAGCCCCTCAGGGCCTCCTGGCAGACCCTGGGGCCAGGAGGGGTCCTGGGGTGGGTGACGTGGACACTTGGGGTTCCAAGCAGCTGGTCAGTGTTCTGGGGCACTGGCCTGCAGAGAATGGGGGCCATGTGAGTCTCCCCAGTGCATCAGGTTGAGGCAGCTGTCCCCAGATCCCGGCATATAACCTGGGGAGGAGGGTGCTGGGTGCTCTGAGGAGGTGCTAGGTGCTCTGGGGAGGGTGCTGGGTGCTCTGAGGAGGGTGCTGGGTGCTCTGAGGAGGTGCTGGGTGCTCTGGGGAGGTGCTGGGTACTCTGGGGGTGCTGGGTGCTCTGGGGAGGTGCCTGGGGAGGTGCTGAGTACTCTGGGGAAGTGCTGCGTGCTCTGGGGGTGCTGGGTGCTCTGGGAAGGTGCTGGGTGCTCTGGGAAGGTGCTGGTGCTCTGCGCGGAGGGGTGTTGGTGCTCTGGGGGGGGTGCTGGTGCTCTGGGAAGGTGCTGGGTGCTCTGGGGAGGTGCCTGGGTGCTCTGGGGAGGTGCTGGGTACTCTGGGGGGTGCTGGGTGCTCTGGGGAGGGTGCTGGGTGCTCTGGGGGTGCTGGTGCTCTGGGGAGATGCTGGGTGCTCTGGGAAGGTGCTAGGTGCTCTGCGGAGGGTGCTGGTGCTCTGGGGTGGTGCTAGGTGCTCTGGAGGTGCTGGGTGCTCTGGAGGTGCTGGGTGCTCTGGGGAGGGTGTTGGTGCTCTGGGGGGTGCTGGGTGCTCTGGGGAAGTGCTGGTGCTCTGGGGAGGTGCTGGTGCTCTGGGGAGGTGCTGGTGCTCTGGAGGTGCTGGGTGCTCTGGAGATGTTGGGTGCTCTGGGGGTGCTGGTGCTCTGGGGGTGCTGGTGCTCTGGGGGTGCTGGGTGCTCTGGGGAGGTGCTGGGTGCTGCTCTGGGGGGAGGTTTTGGTGCTCTGGAGGTGCTGGGTGCTCCTGGTGGAGGTGCTGGGTACTCTGGGAGGTGCTGGGTGCTCCTGGGGGAGGTGCTGGTGCTCTGGGGGTGCTGGGTGCTCTGGAGGTGCTGGGTGCTCTGGGAGGTGCTGGTGCTCTGGGGGTGCTGCTGGGTGCTCTGCGGGCCTGAGGTGCTGGGGTGCTCTGGAGGGTGCTGGGTGCTCTGGGTGCTGGGGCTCGTGGAGGGTGCTGGGTGCTCTGGGGAGGTGCTGGGTGCTCTGGGGAAGTGCTGGTGCTCTGGGGAGGTGCTGGTGCTCTGGGGAGGTGCTGGTGCTCTGGGGAGGTGCTGGTGCTCTGGGGAGGTGCTGGTGCTCTGGAGGTGCTGGGTGCTCTGGAGATGTTGGGTGCTCTGGGGGTGCTGGTGCTCTGGGGGTGCTGGTGCTCTGGGGGTGCTGGGTGCTCTGGGGAGGTGCTGGGTGCTCTGGGAAGGTGCTGGGTGCTCTGGGGAGGGTTTTGGTGCTCTGGAGGTGCTGGGTGCTCTGGGGAGGTGCTGGGTACTCTGGGGAGGTGCTGGGTGCTCTGGGGAGGTGCTGGTGCTCTGGGGGTGCTGGTGCTCTGGAGGTGCTGGGTGCTCTGGGAGGTGCTGGTGCTCTGGGGGTGCTGGTGCTCTGGGGGTGCTGGTTGCTCTGGAGGTGCTGGGTGCTCTGGGGGTGCTGGTGCTCTGGGGGTGCTGGTGCTCTGGGGGTGCTGGGTGCTCTGGGGAGGATGCTGGGTGCTCTGGAGGTGCTGAGTGCTCTGGAGAGGTGCTGGGTGCTCTGGGGGTGCTGGTGCTCTGGGGGTGCTGGGTGCTCTGGGGAGGTGCTGGGTGCTCTGGGGAGGTGCTGGGTGCTCTGGGGAGGGTGCTGGGTGCTCTGGGGAGGTGCTGGTGCTCTAGGGGTGCTGGTGCTCTGGAGGTGCTGGGTGCTCTGGGGAGGTGCTGGGTACTCTGGGAAGGTGCTGGGTGCTCTGGGAAGGTGCTGGGTGCTCTGGGGAGGTGCTGGTGCTCTAGGGGTGCTGGTGCTCTGGAGGTGCTGAGTGCTCTGGGGAGGTGCTGATGCTCTGGGGGTGCTGGTGCTCTGGAGGTGCTGGGTACTCTGGGGGTGCTGGTGCTCTGGGGGTGCTGGGTTCTCTGGGGGTACTGGTTCTCTGGGGGTGCTGGTTCTCTGGGGGTGCTGGTTCTCTGGGGGTGCTGCTTCTCTGAGGGTGCTGGTGCTCTGGGGGTGCTGGTGCTCTGGGGGTGCTGGTGCTCTGTGGGTGCTGGTGCTCTGGGAGGTGCTGGTATTCTGGGGGTGCTGGTGCTCTGGGGGTACTGGGTGCTCTGGGGGGTGCTGGTGCTCTGGGGGGTGCTGGTGCTCTGTGGGTGCTGGTGCTCTGGGGGTGCTGGGTACTCAGGGTGCTGGTGCTGTCTTGGTGCACAGTGCTCCAGCAGCACGCACTGTGGTCTCCCAGCCCCTCTGGGTGAGGAGTGTCTTTGAGGGACGCCCCCAGGAAACGGAGGAGGTGCGGGGCGGGGGGGGGGGGGGGAGGAGCACAGGGCTCAAGGCGGAGGCAGGGCCTGTCAGAGCAGGCCGGGCTGAGCGCACCGCAGGGACTCCTGGAGCCGCGGCCGCGATGGGTGCGCTGACAGCCCTGTGTGGGGTGGTCCTGCTGGGCGTGCTGGGCCAGGGTCTGCGCTGTGGCCAGGGCTGTGGTCAGGGCTGCTTCCCGAGAGGGGCGGACACCGACCTGCGCTGCTGCCGCTCCTGCTCGCCCGGTAGAGTGGA